CCCCAAAACCCCAAAACCCCAAAACCCCTTAGGTATTTAAAAATCAAAATTGTAGGGATTTATACAATTATATAAAATTAAGGATATAATATTAAAATAAATGTAAGGAGAATAATCTGATTCATATAAGCCTTCTCTATCATCTCAATCACCTGGATCACCATTCAGTTAAAGTAGAAGCAGAAAAGCCAAGCATTTACCTAACTAAAATGGAGAAAGAGATTTCATTAAACCTCTAGCATTACTAAATATTCCCTCGTTAAAGCATTTATCTCAGCCTCTTGAAAGTTTATAATAATAATCTCCTTCTAAAATGAAACGAAAGATGCCGCAGCTATTAGGTTAATCAATGAAAAAAAGCATTCATAGCTCTAGTGGCAGTATACAAGTGCCAAGAGGTTCAAGAGCAAGCACTATCAAAACACTAGTAAGGAAAAAAACCACTAAAATCAACTTTGAAGAGGTAATGACTCAAATGGAGAAAAAGAACTCAGCTAACTTCTTCGATAATCTTCCAACGATATCATACTCGCCAAGAGCTCCTGGATGGAATGACATATTTAAAGGGCTGCTCTCTCCTAATGCTAAATAGTATAAAAACTATTTGAAGCCTATTATTGAGAAGCTAAAAGATGATAAGAGAGAAAGTAAGTAAAAAGTGTTCATTAATGAATCTGCTATCTAAAATTAATCAATGCAGAGAGGCATATTGTCATTTAATTTTATTTTGGTATTTCAAAGTTTGATGTTTTTATAGAGATGAAAGAGAGAAACGAGAATAAATTTATTGAGATCCTAAAAAGCATTAAAAAGAAGGAGGCTAATAATATGATGCTCAAAAGAATGCAGATTGAAAGTATATCCATTAATTTAACAATATATAGAAGTTGTAGTATAAGAGATACCTACTCCTTAAGAAGAGGAGGAGGAAGAAGTAGAAGTAGAAGAAGAGGAGGAGAATAAGTCAGATAGCTATTCAAATGAATCAAAGAAAAAGATTAATTCATTAAAACTTGAAGAACCCTCATCAAATACTTAATAACTAACTATTAAAAAAGATAAGGGATTATCAAGATCACTCGATATAGACCCAAATTACGCAAAATCTAAGTACTTCATTAAAATGATTCTAACAGATACTCACATCAAATCTTAAATGATTAAGGAGTTTAAGGTAAGGAGAAAGAGTTGCTGTTGCAAGGATTGTAAAGTAAGAGCAATAAAAGGAGCAGAACTTAAAGATCCTCTCTCAGCACACCTCCATGCGGATGAAATAAAAGTTAATCATAATATACTTGAGAAGTTTAGAAGAAATGTTATACTAGCATTGCAGCAAAAAAGACTATAAGATGAGATAGAACTTAGAGCAATGCTTGCTGCAAAACAAAAGAAAAAGTTATCCTAACCAGGATTAAATCTACTTAGAAGCAAGACTTAATCCAAAATAAATATTATGTCGAGATCTGCCACTAAGAAAAATATGTCACCAATTAAAGAGTCTTTTAATCCATTTTCTTGCAATAATGGCGAATCAAAAATATCTCTATTTGCTATTCCCAAAAAGAATGATATAAAATAGAAAAATGTGATTATAGAGAAGGAATCCTTCAGTGATAGCATTAGGACAATGACAAATGCTGAAGATTCCAAAGCTATGAATACAAAGCGCGATAATGCAAATAAGTTAGAAGAGGAGTAATTAGATGATAAAAGGATGGAATAAATAAAGTAGAATTAGGTTTTAGTTACTGATTTCAACCTTAATGTTGGTAGTCCAAAAAATCAATATAATATCGACAACAACAGTGTCAGTCCAAAAAATGGAGCACTCACATTCAATCATTAGGCTAGCAAATTAAGTAAAAATGCTGGGTCTAGAAGAGGTAGTGTAAGAAAAGCCTCGTTTTCCTTCTTTGGGCAATTAAATATAAATACAAAACCTTAAACTGATATGCTATAATCTGCTGCCACACAAGCACTAATTGTAAACAATCCAGATGAGGAACTTACAGAGGAGCAAGAAAGACTTGCAAAGAGAGTATTAAAGTTTTTTTATTCGTAAAAAACTATGGTCAAATATTAGAGAACTGATTACTTTGAAGAGGATAAATCATAACTTACCACTGATAAATCAGAATCTGGAAAAGAATCTCCAAAGAAACCTCACATGCTTTTCAGCATAATAAACAAGCATAATTAGTTTATGGACTAAAGACTATAAAATTTTGAGTAGCAAAGTAGAAATAGGTTTTTTGGAAAGAGAAATTCAAATGATTAGAAAAACGATTAATAGTAGGACCTAAGAACTCCACAAACTTGTGAATCCTTACATTACCAATCTGTCAAATTAAACAACAATAATTTAGCGTTCTAATCCTGCATTTCGTAATTTGATTAGCATAATAAGAGGTAGAAATAGCCCTCTCGATAATCATCTAGAACATCTGTTCTAAAGATATACTAGCACGCTACTTCATGCAATACATAATATTTGAAAAACACTCCAAATGCACCATCTCCTGATGCTTAATCATTAAGAAAGGTGTAATTACTAACTAGACTTAAAAAGACTACTATTTAAAATTTGAGAGGTCTTAAAGATATCAATAAAAATCATATGTTAAAGGAGTTTAAGTAAATAAATAGTGATAAGAAGCTTCCTTTTCTAAGATAGACTTATTCCTTAATAAATCTAAACCATCTTAGTCAAAACAATAATAAAATTTGATGTCGCCTTTCCAAGTAGTTTTCATTTTATGAAACACAATTGACTTACTAGAGAATATGTCATACTATAGATTAATTATTAGTTTTGTTAAATATTTTCTAGTGATCTTCGTTTAAGTTGAATTGTGGGGTTTTGGGGTTTTGGGGTTTTGGGG